CGATATCTCTGAGTGTTGTGTGGGCGCAGGTCGCCAGTTTGTTGTTCTGCTGTTCACGTGCATGCAACGTGTGAATAAGTCGAGTCTGATTGCACAGTCTATAGGGAGATGCTCATCCCAATCAGTCTGGTCCGGCCTAATGTACATGCGAAGCACTTGTTGTAGCAGTTATCTACCCAAAAATTGCCAAAATGAAATAAACTCATCTGCTCAGTCTGTCTGTTATTTTTCGGGTGTCACCGGATGACATAGTTAGTCTAGATGCATAAACTCTCATCAATCGCTGCCAGTGCTCGCCCGTGAACCTAGTGTCTGGATCACTGACTATTATTAAGGGATGCCCATTGCCCATAGTCTTTGACCCAATGATTGGAGAATTCCCTAACGACTAAGTCTATCTTTGCCTCTGATGGCAGCAGAACAAAAACTGCAAATTTACTAAACCGATCCATTGAAATAAACTCATTTGTTCAGTCTGTCTGTTATTTTTCGGGTGTCACCGGATGACATAGTTAGTCTAAATGCATAAACTCTCATCAATCACTGCCAGTGCTCGCCCGTGAACCTAGTTTCCGGATCACTGACTATTATTAAGGGATGCCCATTGCCCATAGTCTTTGACCCAATGATTGGAGAATTCCCTAACGACTAAGCCTATCTTTGCCTCTGATGGCAGCAGAACAAAAACTGCAAATTTACTAAACCGATCCACTGCAACTATAACCTGACTTTTACCATTTCCACTCTTAAGAGTCTTAACCTTATTATCCATAAAGTCTAATAGTTTCAGAGTCTCCGGGGCCTGATGAAATAGGTAACGGTTTGAAGTGTCCTAGGGGAGGCTGCACTTTGCAACCTTGAATGTGCAGAATGCAGACGTGTTTCATACCGACCCACGTGTAGGACCATAGGAGGTTGACGTAAGTCTTCCTCCACCCGAAGTGACCCTCTGAATCGTGACATTCTCCCAGTATCAGACTGCGAATTGGGTTGTTGCTCGGGACACACAACCTATCACGGACATTATTCTTCTCAAATAATAGCTCATCGGACATCCGATAATCCAGGACTTCATGCGGTGTAGTGTTCACCTTCTTTATGATATCGCTATAGACTTTATCATCAACATAGGCATTCTTAATCCTCTCCTGGAGTTCCGAACCTGCATCAAGGTAAATTACTATTGCGCCAAAGAAGTCTGCCCACCTACTTAGTGCGTCGGCAATGACGTTATGCTTACCTTTGACCTGTTTTAACTCAAAATCAAACTCACCAATCATCATGGCCCATCTAGCTTGCTTGGTAGACATTCAGGCTTGGGTTCTCAACCAGCGAAGTGTCTCATAATCTGAATACACTCTGAAATGCCTGCCTAATAGATAATGTGGCCAGTGTGCTAACACTTCCTTGAGTGCTAATAGTTCCCTCTTGTCGGTTGAGGCAGCAACCTTCTCACAAGGCAACCTACGAAAAGTGTTTCATAATCTGAATAAACTTTGAAATGCCTGCCTAATGGATAATGTCGCCAGTGTGCTAATGCTTCCTTAAGTGCAAACAGTTCTCTCTTGTAGGTTGAGGCAGCAACCTTCTCGCAAGGCAACCGATGGAACATAAACTCAACAGGCCTATAGCCTTTGCCAGCGTTCTGTTGGAGTACAACACCAATGTTGTACTGACTCGCACGAGTGGTCACAATAAACGAGAGAGATGGATGAGCGACTTTCAGGACCAGGTACTCGATCAAGCACCTCTTTAGTTTCTTGAACGCTGAAGTGCAGTCCTTATCCTAGTTTCAAACTGTTTCCTTTCACAACAGTCTATGTAATGGTGCAACTATAAACATGAAGTTCCTCACAAACTTCCTGTAGTAATCGGCCAGTCCTAGGAACAAACGTCGTTCCGTCACCGTATGCGGGGTTGGCCAATCTTTGATTGCTTCTGTCTTAGCATCTCTGGGTCTGACCCCTTCTCCGTCAACTACATGTCCAAGATACATAATTTGGCGCTTGGACCATTCACACTTTTTCGGGTTCAATTTGTAACTTAGTGTCACGCAGCTTACTCAATATCAACTGATGATGGTCCTGATGCTCTTCTAGAGTCTTACCAAAATTCAGAATATCATCTAAGTAGACAACAACAAATTTATCTAACCATTTTTTGAATAGGTCGTTGTTATACCTCTGAAATGTGGCAGGGCCATTTGTCAGGCCAAACGGCATGACCACGAACTCGTAGTGGCTGTAACGAGTCTTAAAGGTTGTCTTGTGCTGATCTTGGGGTTGTACCTCAATCTGGTGGTACCCCGACTTCAAATCAATCATCGAAACAGTATTTCCATCCTTGCACCCTGTCCAACAAATCATCCATTATGGGCGATGACTTTGCATTATTGACAGTCACTGTATTCAAGGCCCTATAATCTATGCACATTAAGTTGGCCTTCTTTCTTTGGCACGAATAGGATCGGGGCGTCGTATGGCGACGAGCTCGACTTTATCCACCCCTTTTCAATCAATCCATCGAGCTGCTTGCTCAATTCTTCCGGTTCCTTGAGAGACATTCGATAGATGGGGCCCTTGGGGGTCTTTCTACCGGGTTCTATTTTGATCCTATGCTTGATCTCCCTTTCTACCACTCCGGTTGGGGCCTCTGGGTGGTGTTTCTTCCTCCTCTTTCTTGCCTTCGCTAGCTGGTCTAACATAGGCAATGAACACCTGGATAATTATATCTTCTTTAACCGCGTGCCTGACGAACGCAGGGCCCCTCATACAACAACGGGACAGATGGACCCAACTCCAGACTCATGGAACAACTCATTTCTTCTTTCCTCCCTCGGGACTGGGCAACCAGCACTTGTGCTCGGCCATCTTTATGTCTGCATACACGACATTTCCCCAATCCATCCCCAATATCAAGTAAAAGGGTAGGTTGTCTTCCACTGAGAGGGTCAAGGAGTGCAAAACTTTTTCTACCTTCTTCCCTGCCTCGAACCGAAAATATGCCTTGATCCCTTCACGTACTCCTTTACTCTCATCTCACAATCATCTGCCAACTTACTTACTATCGGCTCTTCCAATTTTCGCACTTTCATGTCGAGCTGCAGTTTCTTTAATTCTTTGCTGCTTATGTAGCTACATGTGGACCCATTGTATATTGACGCACCTACTCTTGATCTGCTAATATCTACATCTCCCAAAATTAGCTGCCTTTTGACATTGTCTTCATGTCAGCCCAAGCCTTACGACAAGTGATCGCCTATGCCTGCGAGGGATCCACCTAGAGAGACCCTGGAACAACCAGTCTACAAACAACTCCCTAGGTGGAGGCCTACTTCAGCCTCTACCTTTGGGACCTTTAGACAAGAGGTTTTCAACTCAGCTCGCGCCTTTATCTGCCTATCAAAGTCTAAACTCCCAGTAGGAGCAGCTGCAACTCCTATTGGCCATTCCCTTTTGGCGGATTTCCAATCTCCAGGCAAAATGGAATGATGTGGTTGGGATCTCGACACCTCTTGTGCCAAAGATCCTCCAACATCTTGAGGGCCGTCCAATGCTCTCCTTCCTCACTTCGTGGAATCAGTGGGTATTTATGGGGACCCCTATATCCCATATTGCCATTATTGGCAAGGGCA